TTAATTTTTACAATAAGTCTAGTTTTTCAAATAATTTTGTATAAAATGCAATGAAGCTTTTGAATTTGTAGCGCTCGAATACAGTGAAACCGATATAAAATAACAATATGTTCTTGTTCGCGCTTTGAAGCACTAAATAATTGGTAAGTGGGGCCGAAATATTAGCATATTGTTTCAAGTTCCAGCATGTTAATATATCAGACTGCTTGGGGCCAAGACAAAAGACAATGGCTCGTGAACGCCTCAAGCGGTAACACATTGGACAAACAAACTCCCACATATTTGCTACTACTTGCATATACGTGCAAATATTTAAACGTCGTTAAATATTTTCTTTGGTATATTAACTGTAGCATTAACACTGGCATATCTGCTTCAGTAATGGATAAAAATTGTACGAAATTTTAAAACAATCTTGATAATTTATAAAAAATGTGATCCATTAAATTCAATACATTAAATCAATTATACACAAAAATTTAACTAATGCATTGAATAACTTTTCGCATGGTAGATATAGTAATCGCAAAAACTCAAACCTTAGAAAATATGGATGCATGAGTGTATGTGTGTGTAGTATGTATGTATGTTTGAATACAAATTTCCGTCCACGATTTCGAGAGCACGGATCAACCCGTTTTGATTTGATTCAAAAAAAAAATCGATTCATATTGATGAGGGATGTGCTGAATAATTTTTGGCAAAGGCAAGTCCAGGCGTTTCGAAAATACGGGCCAAAAAGTGCAAAAATGGCAATTCAGTTTTTGAGAGAACGGTGCGTCCAATTTGAATTATTCAATAAAAATTTCACTTGTAGGGACATAATGAAGAACTGGTTGAATTTTTGGTAAGGCGCATATTAGTTTCGGAGTTTGAAAAAAAAGTTAAAGAAATGCCATTTGGCGGTCAAAAATGATCATTAGCCATATACACATAAAATTAACACACATTTTATAGAGACTTTAATAATAAGTACATTATTACATTTCTATGATTTTCGTACCAAGATTTGAAATGTTTAACCGTTAGGCTAAGATGCACAACGATATTTGGTCTCTAAAACTGCTTCGCAGCTCGATCTCTTTGAAAAAATTCTAAATTTTCAAAAAATTCTAATTTTTTTTTTCAAAATTATAAAGCTGTTGAAAATTATAAAATACGGTACTGAATTTCAATTTGCCTTATGGCACGCTGTCATGCAGAGTTAAATTTGCATTAAACTTTGTTTAAGAACTTTTTTTTATTATGCTATGGCCTTTTTTCCAATCTTCTATTAGCAATTTATTTAATCAAGGTTTTGCAATTGCAAAATATCAATATTATTAAACCGTGATAGTAGAAGTAAACTGCAATTGCATAAGTAATAAATTATCATCTGTTATACATATGAAAGTCAGTGTATTATCTTTTTACGTGTGCATTAGTGTAAAATAAATCTCCTTACATCGCTGTAAATCAATGCATTAATCCATGTTGACATTAATGGGGAGTGCTTATGTACCCATATTTCCTCATACGCGTTGCGTACGTCAAGCAGACTAAGCTTCGTAACGATCTATCGTCTTCTTATTATAAATCGAACTGATCTCCCGTATAAATCACGTACGCAGCGCGTGGACGCGCCCGGGCAACAGGTGTCAGAGAGTATAACTGTGCGTACACTCGCCCAAAGGAATAACGAAATTCCATCAACAGTTATTTTCTACGCATGCATTGCCGATTACTCAATACGCACTATGCCAGACCAGCAGGTCCGCGGGTCCACTGGGCTACCAAGTCAGCCCAAGTTGATGTACGAATAAACAAATCTTTAGGTCTAGTAGTTCTGACAATATCTGCATGCCAGGCTGGTTCTATGTTTCTTACCAGATCCACCAGATAATTTCATTAATTTTAGTTCTTCATTATAAATTAACATCTCAGCATAGTACTACATTGGTGTCGTTTTAGAATCTACACTCGTGATATTATTTCGAAATAATTTAATAAGTTGACGTTACGTTTGCATGCAAACTCCGTGGGCAGAGAAAGCTGTTCCGGAGAGCCCGCATTTAACCAGGGCCGAACAACCGGCTTTGTAAAAATTTCGCCGAATAACCATCAAATATTGATGAATATTCCACTGATCCAACTAAGAATATCCAACTTCTTTGTTTGTTTTACAGCGATTATGTAAAAGTCAGCAAAAACAATCATTCGTTTTAATCTATTTGTATAATTAAAAATAAAGATAAACAACAAATTATATAGTTCGTTAAAATTCATGGAATGTTATTTTGATTTGCTAACCTTGTTTTGATAAATACATATATTATTGGGTTTAAATAAACAATTCTATTAGATTTAGAATAAGATATGAATTTACATGGAATTGTTTTTTTTTGTTTATTATATTTTTAACAGCAATCAGAACCTTACGTTCTATGAGCTGTTGGGCTGAAACTTCTCCTCACTTCGTATTTTTAGATGGTAACCCAATGGTTAATCCATCCATATTTGATGATTTTTGTTATTAGAATTAATCTAATAAGGTTGACTTTTTATTGGTGCAGCAATGCCGGGCAAGGGCTATTTTCACTTGGAAACATATTGCTATCTATATTTCCAAGTAAAAATCGTTGTCACTGCTGCCTGACAACAGGCTGCTCGAAGTGGGTATCGAACCCGGGACCTCTGAAACAAGTCCCGTCGCTCTTAACCGCTTACCTACGGGCGAGCCCACATGGAATTGTGACTATAAAAAGCGCTAATCATAAGTTATAACATAATTTTTGAATTTCTGCAATAATCTCCAGTTGAGCTTGTTTATATCAAATTGTCATTTATAATAACAACTGTATTATTTCACGGAAATTCTCTCAAAGTGTTTATTTGCGTATGCGGCATCAGAAGAAAACACAACAGAGATCACAAATCATTCAAAGTCTATATCGGCCATCACATGTTGACATCGAACTGCGGCATGATCTGACTAACACCAGCAGACAGGCAAATACGATATAGAGTTGGACGCCGGAATGATAATTGCTCGCGATTAATAACATATTTAAATTGCTAAAACAGCGCCACGTTCGTGTTTTAAATGCATGTACGCGCACAGGTACAACATACGAATACACGTCGTATTAATGCTACGTGCTCGGGGAATTCTTAGGCAGCCGCACCGATCGGTTCACTCGGTTGCTCGAATCGCTGCAGAGACCTTGGGCATTAAATCAATTATGAAGCTTGTGATTAATGGTGTCAGTTTGTCTCCGATATATATAATTATATTTATCTGCAATACATCGTAACTCAACAATACTCGATATCTGATGAATGTTAACAACTCATTAAACGCCGCGATCGGCTTATAATGTACCCGCTCTGCTACCGGTGTGTAGCACCGCATGGGTCTGCACTGTCAAGGCATGTATGGGCGTACGGTGCCGATTGACATCTGCTAAATCATTAATTAATATTAACGCAAGATAACTTTAAACGAAGATAATTAACCTTTAAATACATAGAAGTGATTGAATGCTGTTTAAGTATTTCCTATTCGAATTTAAGTAATCGTGCAATGCCAATTTTAAAATAGGATCAATTGATAATAGTCTTAAGATCATAATCAAAACGCTTTTGATAATTTGATTTGAAAAAAAATGGATTAAAACTGGCTTGACAATTTATAGCTCACAGATATTTCCATACAAGAAAATAAATATCAATTAATGCATTGAAATCGTTAAAAAAAACTAAATATTTTTGATTTATTGGTATCAAGTTGCGATGTAAATATATAAGTAAATAAACACTATGTGAGCATGCAGATAATTAAATTGTGCTAATAGCAATAACTAATGCTTAGCAAATTACAATGATTGCTCAATGATTAATAGCATTTAATTGATCGCAATTAGTAGATAATTGCTAGCGCACGGCGTCAGTTTGAAAGTTGCATAGTAAATTATTTATGTATTGAATATATTAATCTATTAATAAATATCGAATGCATAACAGCTATTATATGTTACTTTGAGTTATTTATTTGCTAATTATACATTCGTTTACGTATTGTATTTGTGTTTACTTTGAAGAAGCGTGATGTTGCAATTTGTGCTTTTTAGTTTTAATCGCAATTATTCTCGGAAAACGGAACAAGGATCGAAATATATGTTTTGTTTTATTATATTGGTATAATAAAACTTATACCATTTCTTTACTTTTCGAATATCCTTTCAGTTATTATTTAATATTTAAACATTTTGGTGTACACAGATAATTCTTTGTAAATTGAAATGCAATAGACCATTCTGAAAGCGATAAATACAAAAGTCTCTAAAATTCTGAATAACAAATGGTGGAATCCCGAAGCGTTTTCTTCAAGAATTCTATATCGATGTTAACAATACATGGTTGTTTGTACAAGCGAACAATAGAGAAATCTGTAAGCATTCACGTATGGTGTTCGTGGTCCGTGGCTTCAGTAGCTTAATAACGGGTCCTTTGTCCGCGCACTCGTAGAGAGCAGCCAACACGCGTCGTCGCGCGGGTTGCGCTTTATCATCGGGTTCTCCCCTCGAAATAATCTCACCTTGGGTCCGCGGCGCATGACGAATTCCCCGTCTTAGTATCAGTCGACCAATCGTTGTTCGACACATTTGTAACTCAACTGGATTGGCCGAAAACGCCATATAACGTTGCTACCCCCAATCTTCAACATTCAAAAAAATTAAATTTGAATAAAGAATTTAAAAAAAGACTAGAATGGGATTTGTTCGAGAGTACAATAGCTTTGGAAGTTATTTGTAAAAACATATTTCATTGGTTGTTGGCGGCTTGAAAAGGATCATTTTTATAAATATCCAGTCCTTGAAGTCTGAAAGAATTTAATCAACTTAAGCATATATTTATATAAATATGTATCTAGTATTCAAACGTTAACGTATATCAAAGATTATTTATTCGTACATAGTTACATTATTCTCAAACCTAATGTTTTTATTATCTTTTTCCAGAGGTCTGAGAGTCGACAATGCGCGCGTGGCCGGTGCTACTGACGCTGATCGCGGCGTTGCCTTCGATCACGGGCGACCCAAACAGCCGGCGACTAACTTCAACTTTGAAAACTGCTGCTAGTCTTCCAAATACTCATTTAAATATTGCTGAATCGACGAGAGATCGTCAAGAAAAAACAAAACACTCATTACCTAAGGAATCTAAAACGATAGTCGAAGAACAAATAATGACCAAAGATCATGAATATCAGTTGCCAGCGTCGCAGCTTTTATTACAAGAGCAAGCTAAATATGCTCAACCCGTCGACCAGGAACACGATAAAAAGAAAGTAGTGGCGCAATTAGAAAAAAGTTTGTTGTCGTTATTCGGCATGCAAAATAGGCCAAAACGGAAAAATTCGCCCATAATTGTTCCTCCAGCAATGAGAAAACTTTACGAGGAAGCGATGAAGGCAAGAAACGAAAGAATTGCATCCGACAACGATTTTGGCGGTTTGGGGGCGAAAAAAGGTCTACATGCAAGTACTGCAAATACTGTGCGCAGCTTTACACACACAGGTAAATATCACTATAGAAACTAATTAAATACACATAAAAGTAATTATAGCAATTTCTCTTCAATATATTTCAATTTAAATATAGATAAAAATGAAAAATATCATATCTATAAAAGGCTTTTTATAATTAGAGAATTAGAAATTACGATTCAATAACATAAACCTGATATTATAATATTATATTACTTTGTATTAAATACAAATGATTAATTTAATATAAATAGAAACTCTAAAATTTGCACCAATTTGTTTTTCATGCGTTTCGCCGTAACTTTGTTTACGAACAATGCGACCGAAGTCCTTTTACCTGTTTCGAGTGGGATAAGGGATGATTTGTAAATCTCTATTGTAATCTCAAGTGCCAGAGCAATATATTTATATAAATACACAATGCATTTAGAGCTTACTGTCCACGGGTTGCTGCTTGAGCACTTATGGATTATAAAAAGTCTTCCCAGAAGTTAAAAGCTAATCTTTCATATTATGAGCTTTGCTTTGCGTTCGCTGCCTTTTATCCTTTTCTCAAATTTTTACGTTATAACAAATTTTATAAAATATCCTTGAATAAATAAAATACTTGTCAATCTTTTTGTAAGAAACTGTTCTTTTCCGTAATGAAAAAAAATTTCACACAACAATTAATCAACGTAGCATACTGAAATTATATTGATTGTAATCTAATTGATATTATTTTTTTTACAGATAGTCCAATTGACAATCGATTTACTGGAAAACACAGATTTCGGCTTTCTTTTAATGTATCAAGCATTCCATCTGAAGAAAGCTTAAAAGCGGCGGAGTTGTCATTATTTCATAAGCATTCAGGACAAAACCAGCGGGTACTGGTATACGACCTGGTTCGCCCAGGAATAAAAGGCAAACGCGAGCCTCTTCTAAGGTTAGTTGATTCGAAACTACTAACGTCAAAAACAGGCGAGCAAGTGAGTCTTGATGTGTATCCTGCTGTAGAGCGATGGATCCAAAATCCTTCTGAAAATCATGGACTGATTGTGCATGTTTCAAGTAAAGAGGAACACGGTTTACGGCTACGGCGGGATACCGAAACCGACGTGAATCAACCGACCTTACTGACATACACCGATGACGGCCGTGGTGATACTATGGCAAATATGAGACAGAAGCGAGCGGCGTCCTCCCAAAGACGCTCTCACAGGCGAAAAAACTCTCAAGAGATCTGTCAGCGAAGGCCGCTGTACGTCGATTTCTCCGACGTAGGGTGGACGGATTGGATAGTAGCGCCGCCGGGCTACGATGCATACTACTGTTATGGAGATTGCCCTTTTCCACTGGGCGAGCATCTTAATTCAACAAATCACGCGATAGTTCAGAACCTGGTGAACAGCGTGAATCCCAGCGCGGTTCCAAAAGCTTGTTGCGTTCCAACGCAATTAAGTTCGATTTCGATGCTGTATCTCGATGAAGAGAACAAAGTCGTGCTCAAGAATTACCAGGACATGGCCGTGGTTGGCTGTGGGTGTCGGTGAAACCGGTGGCCACAAAACCGAATGAACAGTATTGTGATTGGATTGTATTTGTGATGAATTATTATTGACCAATCGTGTGAGGACGATATGATCTCAAGAAGCACAGCAAGGAATCAAATACATGCAATCGGCAGGACATTCAGTGTAATGAGATATTGAAGCCGATTGCATTGCTGGTTGAGCGTGCAAATGTATAGTTTCGGCAGCTGCAAAGATAGGACGCACCGAGATATCGCGCACGGGGAGTAACTAGTTGAACATGAAGGCAGAATAAGTTCATAGATTTAGATAAGTGATGGGTTATGTTAGTCAAATTATCCATGACAAAATCTAAAATATTTATTTCATGGCTTTCAAAAAAGTCTGCATTTAATATATTGTTTTTTTACATTATTAAAAATTATTCATTCACATATTTATTTAAAATAAATATGAAAGAATGTTAACTTGTGAAATTACCCATTCATTTATATATTTTTTAGTTTATATTAATAGATAATATAAATGAATGGAGTGCCAAATACTAATAATACTCTGTGAATTATAAATAATTTAACTTATTTTTTCTAATATGTTTAATGTTTTTTACATTTATATATTATTTCAAAAGCCATGTCTAAATATAAACTTCTTAATTAGGGGAAAATGGGGTGAGGTATTGCTAGTCCTTCCATAAAAACCCATTGATTGCATTCATCATTGTAAATAGATGTTTTCACAATATCATGATAAATATTATATATGATAATCCATAACATTAATACTAAAATATGCCGTGCCAGTGTTTATAAAAATTGTATGCAAATATTATAGTTTGAATAATATAGCAATATTCACTTAAGTTTAAAAAATCAAGTGCCCGCTTATGACTCTAATAAATTAATTTAACAAAGACGTATGACAGAAACATTTGTAAATGAAATATGTATTATATTGTAATATATTAGTACCTGGATTTAAGGAATATTTATTTTATATAATATTTATAGTTTTTAATTATCTTTGTATATTTCTTGTAAAAAATGTTCAGATTGGAAGAATGCTGATTGAGTCTGATGAGTGCGCGCAGTTATGTAGAAATGTAGTAGACATTGCAATTTATTTTTATATGAAATTTTTATCGGTATCATATATTGTAAGTGCGACTTAAGATATACGTACTTTAGTGTAGAACGCTTTGGGAGTACAAAATTGTTTTCAGATTCAGCATATTAAACCTAAGATTTTCTACGCCCATCGTGCATCGTTGTTTATATGTGTTTGTTTTCTATTTTGTACAGTTTGTATATATTATTGATATTAATATTATTATTATTATATTATATTATTGATGTATTTACTCATATGCTTACGAGCATAGAACAAAATATAATTAGTGCGAAGAAATACAAAGTTGAAAAGAATTGTTGTTTTTATCATATTTTAAAAAGATTTTTTTCAGAAAACTTTTTTTTTACAATTCTTGTTGAAAATAAGAACTAAATATTATGTCGAATTGAAAATATTATTAAAAAAATAAACTCAAATTTTAATCATAATTTTATCTATATATAGACCGTCTTTACAACTATGATTTATATCAACTATTAATTGAATAAATTTTAATTATTCTATTTAAACTGTTTCGATTTTCAGGAATCATAATTAGAGTATAAGAAGTTTCGCCAAATGCCAAAAACAAAATCGTAAGTATATAAAAATAATGTAAAAATTGTCGTCATCATATATTGTTGCAAAGTAAAAAATTAAATGATTATTAAGTTACTAATATGGATATGACTTTGTAATTGAATTCATTTTGCTTTCATAAAATACGCATCGTAACTCTTTGTATGCATTATTCCACATTGATTAATAAAATAGTTATTGACTGAATGCATAAACTCATAAAAAACAAAATGAAAATAAGACACAAGTATAACTTTTTCATAAAATGGCTATATGAGGTAATTAAACAAGTATAATATAAATCATAAATACTGCATTTAAATGTTTTATATATTTTAAACATATGTTTACAAAATATGCCATGCAAGTTTTAGTTTAAGAATAATATTTTATGCGTGCATATTAAATATGTGAAAGCAAATAAGTTTTTATAGAGAGTACGACCTTCATTTATTTGTTAAATTAGTTAGCATTGATCATGACATCGCGATAGTCACATTTTGTCATAAGGCTTTTTGATGAGTAGAAATAATTAATTTCTATTTATTCATTTTAATAGAAAACGAATACAAGTACCAAAGGGATAATATTAGAAATATATAATTGCATCCACAAATTGACAAAACGTGCTGACATCTAGCACATGCAATTGGATTGAATAAGTTGACAAAACTAGGTCAATATGGTAGGCACTTGTTCAACTTGAGCAGGTAATAAATAGTTTATTTCATCTATTCGCAGTCCGTTAAAGTTTATATTTTTCAAAATATCAAATCCAAAATTCCAAATAGAAATCATAAGAACCTATTTTTGCGCATTATTGTAAGGTGTTTGCTTCCTAAGATGGTCAACAGTTCTGAATCTGAACCTCAATCAGCAAAATAGTTCTTGTTCTTAAATTTTGTATCATCTCTAAATGTGTAATATTACTACATCATTTCAATCTGTTTTACTGATATTTTGAACAAAAATATTGAAATTTCGGAAAAGAAGTTTTATAAGTAAAAATTCCATATCCAATCTATACGATCGAATTAAGTCTATTTTTATTGCATTTATTATAAGCCAATAAGTTCTGCAACACGATTTTTGTTGTTATTTGTTTGCTAGTCTTCTATTCTTAACCTTTTATGTTAACAAACAATTTAATAGAACATATAGAAAATAAAAAATATAATTTGTTTAAAGAAATGATTTAAATTTGCGGAATGGTAAGCTTACCGATTATTCCCGAAAAAACAAAATCGGTTAACAAATTGATTTATCGATTTACGAAAATATTCTCAATGATTCTAAGATAAATCGAAAACTTTTTTCCCGAAAAAAGATAAGAAACAATTAAAAAAATACGGCTCTAAAATGATTAAAAATTCCGTACAATGGGCGGTTTGTCATTGATGGTGATTGTTTAGGCACAGTTTGAAAAAGATCATAAAAATCTTCAAAAATGTAAAGAATTCGTTGAAAGTGTAAAATGGATTTTAACACGGGAAGTAACCCCACAGTGTTTTGTGCCGGACCCATTGTCATGCTAATAAAACTCATCTCTACGCCACTTGACTTTTATTGTGTTCTCAAGTGTACCTGTCGACGGGGATTGGGATGCATTTTCAAAAATAACGAGGAAAACTTGCAATCATTATTAAAAAATAGTATAATATATAAAAGTCGTCAATTAAAATAAATTTACTATTTCATATTTTTATAGTTAATTACTAATTTACTTGCATCAATTATATGTTTATAAATTTTCCTTTTCTGTTCACTTTTATTGTTTTTAGTTCACTATTATTATTATGATTTAATGATCAGTTACGTTTCTATAAAGTTATTGAATTTTAAGAATTTTCATCTCAATTAACAAAAAAAGTTTACCTTTATTTGGTACTTATTCTCTACATATAAATCATAATAATTATTGAATGTTTTTGTTATATGAGAGCAGATTGAATCTTTATTTAGAGAAATTTATAAAAAATTGAAATTATAAAGAATTTTGATATAAAAATACTATATAGAATTTGATATAAATTTGATGTTACAAGAATTATCGAGTACCTATTACATGTATACTACTTTTTCTACTGTAAATATTGCAACTCCCATCGTATTAGCTTTCTGTAGGGTAAGTCATTGTAATCGTCGAAAATGAAAATTTGTGCATATTTTTTATAATTAGAAAATATTGACGTATGTGTGGATAATGAATTGTATTATTTGGAGCTCAACCGAATTGCATTATTTAAAAATCATTCGATACCTATTGATAAGGAGACGTGCTGAATAGTTTTTCGCAAAAGTTGGTCCGGCCGTTTCAGAGATATGAATCAAAGAGAGCAAAAAAAGGCAATTAAGTTTGTGGAGCATCGGAGCATCCGATTTGAATGATTCAAAAAACATTCCACTTATATTGACTTAATGAATAATTGATTAAATTTTTGCAAAGGCAGATCTAGCGGCTTAGAAAATCGAGAATTTTTTTAAAAAATGCCATTTGGCGGTCGAAAATCAAATATTTTTGACAGTATGGTTCAACCGACATGAATGGGTATAAAAAACTTATAAGAGATTTCAAACTTCCAAAATTGAACAAAAAATTCAAAGTTTTCAAAAAATATTATTTTATTAATAAAATAATAACAAAATATTAACTGTAGAAAACTACAGTGCCATAGAAATAATAATTTTAAAACAAAGCGAAAAATGTGCTAAAAATTTAAATCAGTTTAAATTTATTCAGGATTAAATTCAAATAAAAAACTACTTCAAACAGAAATTTTATTGGAAAATCAAGTGTTTATTTGAAAAATAATAATTTTGAAGACGCTGAACGAAGAAGAAATAATTATGAATAAGAAATTGAATGAAATTTTTTAGAAAAATACTTAGCCATAGAAATAATAATTTTAAAATAAAACGAAAAATATGGTAAAAATTTAAACCACTTTAAAGTTTTAATGGCAAATAATAACAAGCATCATTCTAAGATTAATAATGATTAAATTCGAATAAAAAACTGCTCAGAACCAATATTTTAATAGAAGATGTGAAGAATGAAATGATGATGGATAGAAAATTGTGCTTTTGTGCGCCTGTTTTTCTATCCCTTACTATATTTTGTATGGGGTTAATTTTAAAACAATTTTCGTATAGGGTTAATTTTAAAACAATTTTCGTATCGATGATACGGTCCTGATTCAGGTGCGGCGTAGAAAATCACAGCTAGATTTATGATCGCAACTTCCGGTACGGTGGGTTCATTCAACACGGGATAGAGGGTAAATAACGATGACGTACGAAAGATGAAAAAACGCATTAACGGCATCATAGTTTTCAAATTTGTCATTCCGCTTTTGTCGAACTTGCAAGGTAAAACAGGAATGTTCATGACACGAGCGAGATATATAGACAATGGATAGCATAAGGGAAACAAATTCGCATTTGAAAATCCTCAAAACTAATTAAAATTTTTAAATGAAGAAATAATAGACTGTTTTACTGAACCAATTAGACAATTTTTCGCGCAATAATATACAACTTGCAATTGCAAGACTAGATTTAGATTTAAAAACATGTATTTCACTGAATAGGCTGAATTACAGTATATAGATAATATATATAAATTTACTA